TTTCCCCATAACTACACTGTTGCATTTCCCTGAAACTTGCCATTGCTTACATGTCACCTCTGTGGGCTGCTTGGTTCCTGCCCCATTTAATGTTGGTAAAAACCCAAGTTCTATCTTTCATCCTTTGTCCTCACTCCCTGGATGATCCCATCCAATCCAGCAGTGTCAACCTTGCCTTTCATTCAAGTGATTCCTGTATCTCCACACTGGCCCAGACCGTGGCCCTGAGCCAACTGGACCTGCTACCTAACTGCCTACTGAACTCTCTAGAGGTCAGCTCTCCGGAACCAAGCTCCTTATCTCATCTTCCTCACAAAGGGTGCAGGTACCATCCTCTAGACAAGGCAGAACCTTCCATTCCCTCACCCTCCACATCCACCCACTGTCAATTCTATCTTCTAACATCATCCCTCTTTCCCATTTTCACTGCTGCTCATCAACTGAGGTTCTGTCATCCTTTACCTGCACTCTTACAATTGCTCCCGGCAGGTCTCACCTCTTTCTATTTCCCACCCCTCTCATGTGACCTCCATACTGTTGCTGAACTAAAGTATATTGCATTACTCCTGATTCTTTTTTTTTTTTTTTTTCGCGGTACGCGGGCCTCTCACTGTTGTGGCCTCTCCCGTTGCGGAGCACAGGCTCCGGACACGCAGGCTCAGCGGCCATGGCTCACGGGCCCAGCCGCTCCACGGCACGTGGGATCTTCCTGGACCGGGGCACAAACCCGTGTCCCCTGCATCGGCAGGTGGACTCTCAACCACTGCGCCACCAGGGAAGCCCACTCCTGATTCTTAAATCCTTCTATTGCTACCTATCACCTACCAAATGAAGACCAGCTTCTTATCATGACAGAAGGTCCCCTATGATCAGGCTTCCGCCTGCCTCTCGGCCTCATATCTCATTAAGCTCCTCGTAGCACGCAGCACTCCAGTTATAACTAGTTACAGCATAATTGTTCTGTGCTTCTGCCATTTTCAACCTCTGCTCCACGTCAGAAATATCTTTCCCCCAAACCAGCGCAACCTCACATCTGACCCTTGTTCGCTTGGCAAATTCCTACCCGTCTTTCCAGGCTCACTCACCTCCTCTACAGGGCCGTTTCTCATCCTCCCCACTAGACTTATGGCCCCCTTTTTCTCTCATAGCACCAAATCACTTCACTGCAAATGTTAGTTTACATATCTGGCTCATCCTTAGCCAATTAAATTTTATTTTTTTAATCTGTAATTTCTCATCAGCTGACATTTCACCTGGCACATAGTTTAAGCTCAGTAACTGTGGAATGAAAACTGTTGGCAAAGCAAGTCATCACTGAATCAAGATTCAGAGAGACCAATAGAATCACATTACGCAGGACTGTAGAGAAGTGCACTAAGAATCAAGCTAGTTTGTGATTTAATTTTCCAAATTTAAATAATGCATACATAATCCGCTTAGTTCTGTTCTTTTCATGCACTTCTCTCTCACGCAGTCTATCTTCTAATACCTTACTCCAACTCTGATTCATCTGTTGGCTTTTATCTTTCTTTTCCTCTGGCAGCCCCATTAAGTCCTCTTCTTCAATGAGTCAAAAATTCCATTGCATTCAACTCTTGGATAAGCCTATCCTCTGAACCTCTGAAGTCTCATTGTAGACCCTTCCTGAAACATCAGGATCTAGGTCTGCTAATCTAGCAATCATCAAATCTCATATGTGTATGTGTATGTATGTGTGTGTGTGTGTGTGTGTGTGTAATTTATTTTCCTTTAACTTATCTTCATCCATCTTATCCTCACAATAGAGACAGGCAGGTCCCTTTTTATTACCACCATTTTACAAGTGAAAAGTAGATACCCAGAGGATATTTATCCTTCATAAGTTACCCCATAAACAGTTGGAAGAAAATTAATTCTGTACTTTCTGATATCCAGTCCTCTTTTTTTTTTTTTTTTTTTGCTTAAACACCATTTATCAAAGTCACATCCTATTGTTGTCCTTCAACCGCTGGCACATTGACTGTACTTTTATTGCCGTCTCCCCTTCCTGTTTGTGCTTGTATGTCCACCCTGCTGACTGTATCCCCAGCTGAGCCTTCCAAAGTAATCATTTTTCTCCCCTTTTCAGCTCCATAATCCAATGACTTTGACAAAGGAAGCTGTATTATATTTGAGTTTCACCCCAGAGTCCAATCCTCTGCAAGGAATCTAAGGGAAACTTTACCCACATCCCAGCTGTCTTTTGGAAGGGCCTCTTTTCTGAACTCTGGCAATCATAACTAGATTCCTCCCAGGCCAATTTTCTCTGCTTCTGGTCCTTCCCCTTTTGCTGCTTCCCGCCAAAACCAGGCAAGCAAAATGACAGTCCCTGTAACTTAGTTAAACGTGATTACTTTAATAAAAATACTGATAAATGAGGACGAGACTAAAACTACTGGCAGCAATGAGGCTTAGAATTACCTGCGGATTTTCCCTTCAACATCCTCTCCTGTTATTAAGAGTTGGCTTTGGGCTTCCCTGGTGGCGCAGTGGTTGAGAGTTCGCCTGCCGATGCAGGGGACACGGGTTCGCGCCCCGGTCCGGGAAGATCCCACATGCCGCGGGGCGGCTCGGCCCGTGAGCCATGGCCGTTGAGTCTGCGCGTCCGGAGCCTGTGCTCCGCAACGGGAGAGGCCACAACAGTGAGAGGCCCACATACCGGGAAAAAAAAAAGAGTTGGCTTTAGTTTCCAGCCTCAGAACCCTCACTTTCACGGCTTTCGCTGTCCTCCCCTCCACGTGGTGCTGTCCCTTACGTGGGGCATTGTAAGGGCATTCATGTCCTTTTCTGTTACTAAAGAGGGGAAAGGGATACACCGGCAGGAGTGGGCACCAGAGAGTTATTTTAACTATGTCTTAGCTCACAGGAGTTTGGCCCACATTTCCATAGCTGTATCTCAGAGGAAGGACCCTCCCTACCGGTAAGCAGAAGCAGACCCTTACCCTCAACACCTGAAAAACACCTGCCCTTCTCACATTCCTCTTAAAAACAGAGAGGAACAATGATCAACTCTGTTAATTAGCTCAGTGGGTTAGACCGGATGCCCAGAAGCAGATTCAGCCCCTTGGCCCCTCCTATGTCCAAAGGAACCTCTAACTCTCCATCATCTTCCAACTGTTTGTCAGTCATAAGGAAGAATATAAATGGATCTGTGCATCACCTTTCTAAAAACACAACTAGCCACACGCAGGCTCCAGAGCATCCTCCCATATATTTCATTTATTTCCATAAATTCAAAATTGAAACCTCAAGGAACTGAGTCGCATGCAATTTCTAAAGTCAGTACAATTAATTGAGCACAGCCTTCCCGAACCTTCCGCCATCTCCCTGCCTCTGGTTTCAAGATTTGTCTCAGGTTGGCAGACTCTTACTCCATTCTGCCTGGGTATACAGGGGTAGAACATGTGCTCACCTAAAGGATCAGTCTAGCTATAGTGGCCAAGCATCACCCCCACTGGCCCTGACTTTCACCTGTTTCAAGTAGAGTCTCCAATACTAAGAATTAATTTTACAAGAATCTTAAGACTTTTCACTTCAGGAAAAAAAAAATAGGTTTTGCATATTGGGACTGGGGGCTGGAGGCAAAGTTTTAAGTTTGTCCTGTTACTATTCAGTCTGAAGATGCCCAAGAAGCAGCATTCTGTGGAAGAATGGACTATTCCCAGGTGATAGGAGAATACGGATTAAACAACTAATTATACTAATAAACTCTGAAATTAAACACAGCTGTTCACTGAGTGCTTGCCCTGATTTCCCCAATTATAACACTATTGTGTGCTCGCACACATGCCTTTGATCTGATTCTCTTTCATTTCAGTCTGTCCTGGGACTGAGACCATGGGAGAGGAAGGTGAAATCCATGGATGATGGACGATGTCTAGAACGTGGATATTCTATAATTCAAGCCTGGGTAAAATTCAAAAGTGACACAAAGGAACAAGGTCTGGTCTTGTTTCCCAGAGGGGCTATTAGCTAACCCATTTTTGCTATGTTAAATTAAAATGACCCATCACCCTGATTCTTAGCAATCTCCCTAAAAACCGTAACCACTCCTCATATCCTCCCCAACATAATCACTCAAAGTAGGTCAGAAATGTTGCTTCCTTCCCCTCATTGATTTTCATTAAGAGGATGCACTTTCTGGAACACTAAAGGGAAAGATAAACACCCAATACAAGTACCAATGACACCCCTTGTAAATTTTTGGCATTAAGTCCAGTTCCCCTAAAAGCAGGGGAAAAAAATCACATCACCTATAATTTACCTTTCTTGGCTATATATCAACAATAATCTCCAACTTTAAAATACACAGTAGCAATGCTTCATCCCAGGTGATGAACATCTCCCAAAAGGAGCATATTCACTGTCTTTTCTAATTTCCTAGATCACCAACCCACCTCCTCCCTAAATACACTTTTTTCTTCCTAATTCACATCCACGTTTTGCCAGAAGGATGCCAAGTGACACCACACACTGGCTTAGCAAGTCCCCAGGGCCTTATCTGGAAGCTGAGAGCAGGGGAAGAGGAGGAAGGGGTTTGTACACACTGGGGAGTGGAGGGAGGGGGAGGGGAGCGGGACGCCCTCGGCGGACGTATCTGGCTCTCTGGAAAAGCTGTGAAGTGAGGGGTCTCCAAATCCCACTGGCGAAGCTTCCCCAGTCCCCTGCCCTTGCTGAAAGCTCTCCCTCGGCCCCAGGTCCTCAAGCCTGGTACTCCAAGACGGCGCCGCAAAGTCCTTCAGAGCCCTCAAAACACCAGGAGCGCGAAACGCACCCCCCAAAAGCCAGCAAAGCCACACACCCTCTCTCGGCCAGCTTCCCGGGGCGGGTAACTTCATCCCTGGAAACAAACGAAAAGCACAGTCCTCCAAGGAAGGAAAGAGGCAGAGAGCAGTAAACGGGCACGACCCTCACCCCACATCTCCCGCGCCCTCCTCGCCCCTCCCCCTCAAACTCCAGGTAAAAGACCAGGTGCGGCTCACCTCCAGGCAAGGAGGAAGCGGGCGGCCGGAGGAGGAGGGCAGGTCCCCAGCCCAGGCCGCTTGACAGCCGGCGAGCGCCCAACAGCAGATCCAGGCGGGGCTCCAGGGAGGCGAGAGTCCGCAGCGGAGAGCCCCGGCTGGCCGCCCCCGGCCCCTCCCCCGCGTCGGCCCTGGGCGGAGGAGCAGCATCTCCGTCCCGCTGTGGTCGGCCCGCCGGCCGGCAAGAAGGCAGCCTCCCCGAGTGGGGCGCGCTCCGGCTCCCGGACCGCGAGTGCTGCGCGCTCGGCTCGCCACTCGCTCGCCCCCTGCCCGGCTGCCCGCTGTCAGCTCTGCTGCGCTCGCGGCCCGGGCGGCCGGCGCCCGTGCTCCCGTCACGCCGGAGGGAGGGACCGCTGGGCGCGGGCGCGGCGCGGGGGCGGGACGCGGGGCGGGGATGCGGGAGCCCTGGAGCAGGTGGCGCGGGCGGGGCTGCGGCCCTGCCCGGCGGCTCCTGCGGGGCTGAGCGGCCCCCGGGGGAGGTGGCGGGGGGGAGCCTCATGACGCGAGAGAGGCCGGGGTGCCCTCGTGGTGTCTCCCGTCCCCAGTCCCCTTGGCCCACCAGGAGGGGCTCTCCGGGGGAGCGGGGGAAGCCAGAGTAAAATCCAGGACATCAGGACATTGTTTTCCGGCGGCGGGTGTTTAAAATCTTCCTACTTCCCGCGTCACACACAAACACACACGGATGCGCCCCAGGAGCATCCCTTCGTAAGGATCCAAGCTAGCTGACGTCAGGCCGAATTTTGGGGTGATTAGGATTTGCATGAAATGGCGGGGAAGAAAGGGGGAATGAAATTTAGATGCAGTTTGTGACTCCGTTTTCTCACCTATTTTATGAAAATAATTACAATACCTAACCCATTAGGTTATTATGAGGATTAAATAAGTTGATGTACGTAAAGCCCTTGAAGAATGCCTGTCAAGCAGTAGATGTGGTGCTTATTGAAAGTAGTAGTAACTGTAATTATTGCTACTGTTGGTGTTACTTCATGGGGATAACATGTAAACTTGGGCAAGTTAAGTCCTTTTATTTCTGCAGGAAGCAGGTTCTCTATTTGTACAATGACTGGGGGTGGTCTTCATTTTTTCTTTCATTCAGAAATATACTGATCCGGGTGGTAGGCACCAAGTGGTAAGCAAGATGAACATTAAGCCTTCGTTACTGTCAGGGATCTCAAGGGTCCCTTCGTCTAAAGTTCTGTGAATGGGTGAGTTATCCTGTTGTTCAAAAGGAGCACCCGAATTTCTGATAATTATGCACCTGGAGAAATTGACCTAGCAGATCCAGTGTAAGTTGACTTGAATTTGTCCGTGGCACGGTCTCTAACGTCCTTTTATTTCTTTTAATTAATTTATTTATTTATCTTTGGCTGCATTGGGTCTTCGTTGCTGTGAGCAGGCTTTCTCTAGTTGCGGCGAGCAGGGGCTACTCTTCCTTGCAGTGCGGGGACTTCTCACTGCCGTGGCTTCTCTTTGTTGCAGAGCGCGAGCTCTAGGCGCGCAGGCTTCAGTAGTTGTGGCGCACAGACTTTAGTTGCTCCGCGCCAAGTGGGATCTTCCCGGACCAAGGCTCGAACCTGTGTCCCCTGCATTGGCAGGCGGATTCTTAACCACTGCAACACCAGGGAAGTCTCTCTAATGTCCTTTTAATAAACATTTACACGTGAAATGTGAAAGTTCTTTTCTCTCTCTCCCTCTCTCTCAATCTCTCTCCCCTGTCTTGTGTGTTCTGATTATAACAATAATGCATGTTTACTGTAAACATTTTGGAAAATATTGAAGACTATCGGGAAGAATATAAAAATCACTTGGGATCCCACCACCCAAATATGACACTATTAGCGGTATTAGCATGTTGAGGAATTTCCTTCCTGGTGTTTGTGTGTGTACTGCAAAACGAGAATTATCGTTTGTAACCTGCTTTTATTTTTTCCTTAACATTAATATTTTCTCAAATCATTAAAGTCTCTGACAGCACAACTTAAGTAACCATATAATATATTCTACTGTTTGGATTATTTGTAATTTACTTTTGGATATTAGGCACTGTTTCTCAAGTATTTGATGTTATTAATAATTCTAGAATGAATGCCCTAGTACATAATCTGTGCATACATCTTTTAATTTTCTATGATGCCTTTCAGAATTGAAATCATTGGATTACATAGCATGTGCATTTTTTAAGTTTTTGATGAATAGTGCAAAAATTCCTTAAAAAATTTTTATGTCAGTTGTTACCAGCAGTTTATGAGTACTTATTTCACAGCATTCTAGATTATAATACTTCAGATATTTGCCATTTTGGAAGAAGAGAAAAATGCTAGTGTATTAATATTTTTTAAATGTATAGTCATTTTTATAATTAGTAATGTTACTGAACTCAGGTTCAGTTGCTCGCTGCTCAAAATCCAGTACTGGAGAGGCAAGTGTTGGTAGAAAGGAAAGGTTGCTTTAATCAGAAGGCCAGCAATCTGGAGAGAAGGTGGACTCGTTTCCCAGAACCAACTCCCCAGGTTCTACTCAGCCATGAGAGTTTTTAAAGGGAAAAGAGGGAAAGAATCTCAGTGAATCACCGAGGCACGAGGTTAGATTCTTCATCATTCTCCACTGTGTGCAGACTGGTTGACTCCTCAGTATCTTTCTTCAGACATTATCTTGCCCATGTGATCTGCCTACAGGATTGCAAAGGGGGCTGCTGTGGGTAGAGAGCTGGTCATTCTTTAACTACTTAATTCTTCATTCTTGCTACTTTTAACCTAGGAAAAGAATCAGCAGGTTAGCCAAGGCATGGTGTGCATTCAGTAGAACATAAGTCAGGAGTAAAGTTAAATTGCCTAGTGATGTCATTTCTATAATTATGTTCTTTTAGGGTTAGAGAGGAACAGGAATGGACAAACAGGAAAGGGGCAAAAGAGCTGCTTTCTGTAATACTGAATAATTTTTCATATATATTTACTGGCTATATATTTCCTTCTCTTGTCAGTGTGTGTGAATTTCTCACTGGCACTCTATGACCATTTTTCTATTGAATTTCAATTTTTTTATTGATTTGTAAGCAATCTTTGTAAGTTTTATATATTACACCTTTGCTTACCATATATGTCACAAATACTCTTCTCAGTTTGTAGTCTTCCTTTTAATTTTGTTTCTGGTGACCTTTTCTGCAGAAGATTGTCATTTTTATGTACTCAACTATTTCCTTTTGTGATTTCTTCATTTTATGCTTAGAGGTACGGTACTTCTGCAAGATCAAGTAGATGCCTATATTTTCTTATTTTGTTATTACTTTATACGTTTTTATTATTTAATCCATCCAGAATTTGAGTCAAATTACATTATTCTTTTTGTCATCTAAGTGAGACCTAACAACATGGCTAATGGATTTAAAACAATTTCTTTGCTTGTAAAAACAAAGGTCATCCCAGTCAACCTAGGTCAAATGACAATTACAGATTTTCCTAAATGGGACAACTTGCCACTGTCAATAAATGATTTTCTCATAGGATTCTCACCTAGAGAAAACATGTTGACCTTAAGTAATTAAAACCAGCATACAGACTGATAAAGGAAAATTCCAAGATAATTTTGTGGTTCCTTTGTAGCTGTTTATTTTAGAATTTAACAGCAGATTATTCAAATGGTTTCTGATTATCTGACCAATAGCTTTATTCTTAAAAGTCTAATTTTATTAAGTACTTTAATAGAAAATTCCCAATGGAATTTTTTGGGGAGAGGTTCAACTATGAAGGTTTAAAAAGTTAAAAGTCACTAGATGGTCATCAATTTTCCACATTATTTTGTGCCATGTGTACCTGAAAATTGAACCAAACTTCGTTAACAATCGACAAAAGCCATAGCTATAGCCCAGTGATGCTAAACACAGATTTATTTTCTTTTTTTAACTTTAAGCAGATTTTGGTCAAAATAACCCCAACTTTTTTTTTTTTTAAAGAAACTGCTTTTTAAAAATTTATTTATTTTTGCTGTGTTGGGTCTTCGTTTCCGTGCGAGGGCTTTCTCTAGTTGTGGCGAGCGGGGGCCACTCTTCATCTCGGTGTGCGGGCCTTTCACTGTCGCGGCCTCTCCCGTTGCGGAGCACAGGCTCCAGACGCACAAGCTCAGTAGTTGTGGCTCACGGGCCTAGTTGCTCCGCGGCATGTGGGATCTTCCCAGACCAGGGCTCGAACCCGTGTCCCCTGCATTGGCAGGCATATTCTCAACCACTGCGCCACCAGGGAAGCCCCAACCCCAACTTTTTAAAGATTGCCTAAGCACACAAAAGTTATAAAAAATAAAATCTGAATGAATCTAAGTAGCAATTTTTTTAAAGTCAATTTTAATCAGTCAAAATGAAAAAAAAATAATAGTGTTTTCTGTATCTAATTAGCAGAAGATAATTTCAGCAAATGTATTTTGTGGGTTATACAGTCAAGAGAACAGGTATTTCTGGAGAGCAATTTGACAGTATGTATTATGTGTCTTTAATATAGTTATTCTTAATTTAGTAATTTTTATTTCCAGGACTCTCATTTAAGAAACCGATTAAGAAGCACAAAGTTTCTCTATAAGAATACTCACTGCTGTCTAATACAGTTCAAAATGAAGTAATTTAAGTGCCCCAAAATAGGAGAATGGCTAGATGAATTATGCTACTTCACATGGTAGGATTATACAGACATTGAAAATCATGTTTCCCAGAGAATATGAAATGAATTGAGGAAATGGGATCATTTAATGTTAATGTAAATCTTAATAAACAGTATATAGCCAAGTACAGTGTGTGTCAGGGGAAAGGAGGGGATTGAAGTATGCTTTATGGAAGGAATATGTCTAGAAGAAGATAAACCCGTTAGCAGTGATAATCTTTTAATGGTGGCATACAGACATTTTTTTCTTTCATTTTTACAGATGTCTTCAATTATTATTTTTATAATAATTATGAATTACTTTAAAAGTTTCTATCCTTTAATGCCAATCAATCCTGCCTGAAAAAAATCATCAAAGATGTATGCCAGAATGTAAGAACAAAAAGTTTCACCAGTGTTATTGGTAAAAGAAAATAAATGAAACCTAAATATCTAATACTAGGGAAACTTTAAGTAAATACTGATATTTAATGGTATATTACCGCAACACAAAGAATTTTTAAGCAAAGTGTCTGACAGAGGGATAAGCTTTTATGAAAATGCTTTCAATTAAATGGGAAAAATCATGACATAAAATTTATATAGATACATTCAATATAGTAAAGGTATAAGACATGGACAGAAGAAAATGAACCAATTTCAGGACAGTGATCGCCTAGTGGAAAAGACAGGAAAGTGGGATTGGGGAGGAGTATAAAAGGGACTTCACTTTCACCTCTAATATTTATTTC